GGGATCGGGTGGGCCGTTGTGGTGTTGCCAATTGCTTTCTTCAGCTGYGAAACATGGAATACCGGGTGAATTCGCGCCCCATCGGGTAATTGYAACCTGTACGCCACCTTGCCTATACATTGGAGGATCACAAAASGACCAAAATACTTTGGTTTCAGCTTTTCATTCTTCCTTCTTGCGACTGTTTTCTGTCTGTAAGGTCGCACCTTGAGGTAGACCCGGTCACCAATAGTGAACTCGACATCTCTTCGATGTTTATCCGCCTGTTTTTTCATAYAGTCTTGAGCCATTCGTAGATGATCTTTGAGCTTGTCGAGGGCAGCATCCCTGTCGATTAGCTGCTGATCCAACGTAGCGTTGGTGGTCTGTTGACTGCCGTACATTACCAGTGGTGGAGGTGGTCGCCCATAGACAGCCTGAAAAGGGGTGGTTCCTAATGAACTGTGGTACGTGGTGTTGTACCAGTATTCCGACCAAGCCAACCACTGTCCCCAACTCTTCGGGTTCACACCACAAAAACAACGCAAGTAGGTTTCCAGGCACTTATTTACTATCTCGGTTTGCCCGTCGGTTTGTGGATGATAGGTTGTACTGCGTTTCAATGTGGTTCCTTGTAGCCGGAATAATTCTGACCAGAAGTGACTGATGAATACCTTGTCCCGGTCGGATATGATTGAACGAGGGAACCCATGAAGGCGTACGATCTCTTTCACAAACACCTCTGCCACTCCCTTCGCCGAATAGGGATGTGTCAAGGCAACGAAGTGGGCATATTTACTCAACCTATCGACCACCACGAATATAACATCCTTTCCCATTGACTTCGTAGGCCTTCAATGAAATCCATGGTTACATCTTCCCAAATGCGGTTCGGCAGTGGTAACGGTTGGAGCAAACCAGCGGGGCCTAGCGATTCTGTTTTGCTTCGTTGGCATACTTCGCATTCTATCACATAGCGCTTCACATCCTCCTTCATACCGGGCCAATACAACTCCCCTATCAATCTTTTGTAGGTTCGTAAGAAACCCGAGTGTCCCCCTAAGACCGAATTGTGATACATATGTAAAATCGCCGGTATGAGAGATGAACCTTTTGAGAGCACCACCCGATTCTTATAGTAGAGGGTACCTTGCTGGACTAGGAATCGCGGGACACTATCAGGATCTTCCTTCAATTGTTCCAGAATCTTGGCAAAGTGCGGATCGGCAGTAACTTCTTGGCGGATGGTCGTGATGTCTACCACTGCTGGCGCTGATAAAACCGCCAATTGTGCAGGTGGGGGTCTCCTAGACAAGGCATCGGCTGCCTTATTCTCCATTCCCGGTTTGTATTGTATCTCAAAGTCATAGCCCAATAGTTTCGAAATCCACTTCTGGTACTCAGGTTGGACTATGCGTTGCTCCAACAAGTATTTTAGTGCTTGTTGATCAGTCCGCACTATGAATCGCTGCCCCAATAGGTAAGGCCTCCATCTTTGAATTGCCAACACCACTGCCATCAGTTCTCTTTCATAGATTGACTTTGCCTGATTCTGAAGTGATAAAGTATGACTAAAGTAAGCGATTGGTCTCTGATTCTGGGTTAATACGGCTCCCAATCTCGTTCCCGATGCATCGGTTTCTATGATGAAGGGCACACTAAAGTCCGGAAGGGCCAATACCGGTAGGGTAACCATCGCTGCTTTTAGTCTCTCGAAGGCTGTCGTTGCTTGATCATCCCACTGAAACCCGTCTTTCTTAAGCAACTGAGTTAGTGGGGCGGCGATGGCACCGTATTTTTCCACGAATTTTCTGTAGTACCCCGTCAATCCTAGAAACCCCCTGAGTTCTTTCACATTGATGGGTACGGGCCATGTAGCATCGCCGTGATTTTAGCTGGGTCCACCTCTACTCCCTCCGCAGACACCCAATACCCCAGATACTCAATCCTTTCTACCGCGAACTGGCACTTCTTTAAGTTGGCGTGTAACGAGTTCTCCCTCAAAGTGTTAAATACCATGGCCAAATGAAGCAGGTGAATCTCCATATCGGAACTGTAAATCAGGATGTCATCAAAGAAAACCAGTACGCACCTGCGCAGATAGGGTCTAAACACATCATTCATCAATGCTTGAAATGTCGAGGGAGCGTTGGTTAGCCCGAATGGCATCACCAGGAATTCATAGTGCCCTGCATGAGTTCTGAAGGCTGTTTTATGCGTGTCTTCAGTCGCCATCCGGATCTGGTGGTAGCCTGAACGTAAATCAATCTTCGAGTAGACTTTCGATCCATGTAACTCATCCAGTAACTCCTCCACCACTGGAATCGGGAACTTATCAGGGATGGTGGCATTGTTCAACGCTCTGTAATCGACGCAAAAACGCCAACTCCCGTCCTTCTTTTTCACTAAGATTATAGGGCTGGAAAACGGGCTGACGCTGGGTTTAATAATTCCCGCCGTTAGCATCTCGTTTATCATTTCCTCAATTTCATCCTTTTGGGCATGTGGGTAGCGGTACGGGCGCACATTTACAGGTGGGTGACCTTCTCGCAATGGGATACGGTGGTCTGTCGTCCTAACTGGAGGTAGCTCCTCAGGTTTCTGGAAGACATCGTGGTACTCGTGCACGAGTTCCTCTATCTTAGGGGACATTTGATCTTGGTCCAGGACCATCTCATCTGGTTGAGCATTCAACACCCTCATCTCTACTAGGTAACCTTGATCCTGTGGTTCCCATAACTTAGCTAGGCGTTTCATTGACACCTCCAGTCGTGCTAAGGTAGGATCGCCCTTAATAGTAATCTGCTTCTCGCCGCGTTGGAACCTGAGGGTCAGCGCCGTCCAGTCCGCTTCCATTTTCCCCATCGTCTGGAGCCACTGCATTCCTAATACCACATCCAGCGAGCCTAGGTCCAACGGCAGGAAATCATCTTTAACTGTGAGTTCCGGTAGTGAGAGAACAATGCCCTTGCACACCCCATGGCCCTTGACTGCTGTTCCGGACCCCATGATGACTCTGTAATTTATTGTTTCTGTCTTCGGTAATTTTAGTTCATCTGCGAGGGGAAGAGATATAAAATTGTGGATGGCTCCACAATCAATAAGAACAGTTACCTCTTTATCTAGCAGTAACCCCTTGACCTTGATTGTCCCTGGGGTCGAGATGCCCACAATGGTGTTTAATTGGCACTCCACCATTTTTCCATTCGGCTCCTCTGTCATTTCCGTCTCCGTCTCTTAACTGAATCGTCTTCCATTTCTAGGAGCTCGTCGTCGTGTACCACAAATACTCGAAGTTCTCTATTCTTGCACTTGTGTCCGACGGTGTATTTTTCCTCGCAGCGAAAGCACAGTCCTCGCTCCCTCCGTTTCAGATACTCAGCCTCCGTCAATTTCTTATACGGGGTTTCCTTCTTGGCGGTATGGGTCGTACTTGCTCCCTGCACAGAGTTAGGGTTTTTTGTCGTAAGGGTGACCGTGCGTGTGGGTATTACCTCATGGGATTTTTGGGCCAACTTGCTGGCAATCGGGCCGGTATGGGCTTTCTCTTTAATCGTCTGGCCGTCCGCTTCCATCATCGCCGTGTTGATGTCATCTATCAGTTGGGCTTTGCGGATAATTTGATCCAAGCCTTTTGGTTCCATCGCTCGTATCTCAGCCCTAACGATTGAGTCCAACCCATTCAAGAATGCACTCTCTAACACCTCGTCAGTTAGTTGCGGTAGTGCCGCCGTGAGAGCTTCGAATTGTTGCCGGTACTCTGCAAAACTCCCTTCCTGTTTCAGCGATAGGAGCTTCGGGCATTGTCTTCCCTCTTGCGCCGGGTGGAAACGTTCTCGCAGTCGACCTTTGAGATCATTCTAATCCCTGTATTTCTCCCGATTGTCCGTGTATCTGTACCAGGCCAACACTATTCCATCGAAGCTGATGATGGCAACGATCATTTTCTCCTCATCGGTCAGTTTCTGTATCTCGAAATATCGTTCCGCTCTGAAGATCCAGGCCTCCAGCTCTTCTCCCCCGAAAATAGGCATCTCCACTTTCTTGAAGCGGTTCCGATCATTTCCCTAAGCCTCATTGTTGTTCATCGGAACATCTTCCGCAGCTTCCTTCCCTTTCCGTATCGATGTCTTCCCGGTGAGTAAGGAGTTTGATTGCGACGGGGATCCTCCAATAATTTGGGCCATGAACGTTTTCAGCGTTACATGGAGGCTCTCTGTCTGTTTCTGTTGTTCATCGAACCTTTGATGTAGTGATGCGATTTCCAACTTCACACTTACAATCTCTTGCTCTACTGCCTCGCACCGTGTCTCTAACTCCTTGACCGTCATGCTTCCTCACCGTTCCCAGCACCAAAACTTGCTCTGATACCAATTTGTGAGGTATCTCCTCACTATTTCTATTACTGCAAGAACAAAGGAGCCCTAAGGCTTTACAAAACGCTAACCCACCTATTCGAGAGGGTGGGGAA